CAAAAGTGTTGACTTCTGTGATACTTCCCCGCCTGACACCATTAAGGGAGAGGAATATCTGCGAACAACAGGCCGGATTCCGACCAGTTACGGGTGCATCGACCAAATCTTCACTCTGCGTCAGTCCTCAAACTGCGTCACACACATCGTCGGACAACAATCGCAGTGTTCGTTGACATTAAAGGAGCCCTCGATTCAGTTGACCGTGACGCTCTTCTGGGGTCGCTGCTCCGCAAAAGAATGCCGCGGAAGTATGTAAACCTATTGCGGTCGTTGCATCTGCATACTTCTGGTAGCGCAGGGGTCTATGGTGGGGTGAGTAAATCGTCCGAAACCAGGAGCAGTGTCCGTCAAGGGTGCCCTATTTCGCCATTCCTGTTCAATTTCGTCTCCGAGCAGATCATGTCCAACGACTGTCCATCTTCGACAGCCGTTTTCTGTGCGACATTGCCCGCTTGTAGTGGAAGCATCAGGTCAGTAACGATGAGGTCGGATGTGCATTAGGGTCAGATCATCTACTGGGCAAAACAGTTTCATGGTATCGTCTGAATTGGCTAAGGCACGTCTTAAGAATGCCGGAAGGACGTCTGTCATACCTTGCGCCATTTGTAGACATCGGTTCAGGCCAGAAGAAACAACGAGGTGGACAGGCTATGGCTTGCCGAAGAGATTTGAAGAGATTCTGCCCAGATTTGGCCTCCGGCTCCGCGGTTGGAGCCCCAAAGGTTCAGACTGTCTTTGGCTGGAGACCGCAGGATATGGCATCAAATCGAAGTCATTAATGTCAATGCACCCTTTTCTGTATCCAAAAATGAAGTAAACAAACAAACAGAAACTAAAACATTGATTTCCCGAGATAAACTTAGAGAGAGCTTGGTTGTGCTCTCTCTTCAAACAAAGAAGTCAAAATTACGTGCAATGAGCAAGCAAAAGAAATTGTCATACCCAGAATATATATATATATATATATATAGCATCAGAAAGTTTGGTCTACCAGTATAGATGCTCTCAAGCAGATAGTTTTTTCTCATCTTTGCTAACCGCATTTAACTTACCTTCTTTTGACTTAGGATTCCTGACGCTTGGACTCTGACTGTTCGCATCTACCTTGTCTGATGTGACCACCTTCTCGTCATTATGAACAGAATAATCATTCTCATCGATATGGATTGCTTCTACGTACAAGTGGAACAGCGTGAACAACCAGAGACGCAAAACAAACCATGTGCCGTGGCCCAATATAATGGCTCGACCGGTGGCGGGTTCGTTGGGTTTTCCTGTTGCGGACTAAATTCACTATCTGCTCTATCTTTGATTTCCCAACAGAATCATTGCAGTCAGTTACGAAGCTCGAGCGCGAGGAGTTAAACGCGGCATGTGGGGGAAAACGGCATTGAAAACATGTGATGATCTCATACTGTTCGAAGTGCCGGAGAAGCGAGGCAAGGCGGATTTAGCCAAGTAACTTGAGTTTCGTTTTCTTCCCCTGGATTTCAGATATCGGGCAGCTGGTGCGGAAGTTATTCAGTGCATTTCTGAATTTGTTAATAACGTAGAACGTGCAAGTATTGACGAAGCCTATGTGGATATAACCGGTTTGTGGTTTTGTATTGTGTTTTGTGATCACGAAAAATTCGTTACAGACTTTGTAACTGAACAACTTGAACAGAATACTCACTCTATGACATTAGACACCACGCCAACAGATGAAGCATATGTAATGGCTCAACACCGACCGTATACTCAATCAAGTGATGTACGGACTGTCGATTCAACGTCATGCAATGCACTTAGTGAATCTCTAAACCGACCGGATTGGAAAGAATTTCTGATTGAATCCTTTGCTGATGGTGAACGATATGCGTTAGCCTCGGCATTAACGTATCACATTCGGAAAGCAATTTTACGGCGTACTGGATTCAGATGTTCTGCGGGGGTCGCTCCGAATAAGGTGAGCCAATAAGAAGGGTATAAATGAGGGTCAATTGAGAAAGCCATAAAGAGATGATTGTAAATGAATGTACTGTTCCTACTGCTGTAGATTCTCTTGTGTTTCATCAAAAATGTAACGATAAGTAGTAGTATGAATAACTTCCCTGGAGGCAAACGACTGGTCTCAGTTCTTGCTGCTCGTCAGGTATGCATATCCGGTAATCTTTTTGTGTATACCCGGCTTGTAAACAAGCTTGGTACCAATGGAACAACAATAGTACCTAGAGGTGGCTTGNTTGGAGTACCGAGGAGAAGAAAACATTTAAATGAGAACCCGTTTGTTGATTCTGTGTTCACAAGTAAGTTACTGGGAAAACAGTTGTGCTGTTTTTGGGAAGGTAATTGAAACTTAATGTGGCTTCTGCGGATAGTCACTTAGAATCGGCGACTAACCGCTTTTGTACTCGACCTCTGAGGAAGAACAAGTGAGTGAGCCAGATTCGGTTAAACAAAAACAAAAATTCTAGGGATAGAATAAGGTTAAAGAAACGTCCAGTTGACATTGAACAAGCGACAACAAGTGTAAGAGGTCGGTCNAACCCGATGAACCCGTGCTTCGTCAAATGCGAGGTAAATAGAAGTGAACAAACGTCTGGCGGGGAAGAAAAAGCCGATTTTTCTGACAGCACGAGGGGAAAGTAAAAAATGACCACGGGAGAGAAGATATGAATGGTCTCAATACATTGCCTGATTCTGTGCAATAGGGAACGTTGGAGTCGACAATTTAATAGTGATGCAAAGATCCACATTTGAGAGCATTCCGCATATCAGAAGTTTCACGACTGGGTTCTGGTAGTTTGTATAGATTAAGTGCTTTGTGGTATTTTTCTCTGGTAAAATAATTGCTATGAAAATGTCTGCTGGAGGGTAGGTGAAGGAATGAATGGGCAAATCAAGAAGAATTAAATAAATATCTGGGAATCCGACATATTGGCTTTCTAAGTGGATCTAAGCCGGGTTTTTTGGTCGTGGGTGTCGATCAAAACCACAAAAGTAGAAATGAGAGCTACCAACAGCCGTTACCGGTTCTGTCGCGGCCTTTCGGTTGCGTGTTTCTACTGCTGGCTGTACTGAATTGGTAGACACGAAACAGGAGGGATTGCTACTCAGGTTTTGATACGATACAGCCTGTTTCTGTGCTGTATCCAATTATCTAGCTAAATCGACGACCTTTTGTTCCTCAAGTAGCCTCTGGCTAATGCGACTAGATAGTATGACACGATTAAAAGCATCTCTAACCAGTTCATCGCGATATTCTTCTGTTGAAACCGGTCTGCATTCACAGTCCTTAACGAAGTCCATCAATAGTTCCAGAAACTGATCCAGAGACTGCCCAGTAGACAAAACGTGTCGCGCGAAGATTTCACTTTTCTGTTTGATGTACCGCTTTTTCAGAATTTGGATAGCGCATCGAAAGTTTTGCAATCCCTAATATATTCGAAGACCGAGGGAGCAATATATTTTATGAGTGTATTCAATTTATCAGGATTGAGTGATTCAATAGTGGAGAGGAAAGTTGTGAAGGTTCAGTACCAATGAGTTCAGTGGTCCCCTGCATCAGAAGAGTGACGACCGATATTGAATCGCTCAGGTCGGAGGTATTTCTCCATTATATAAATTCAGTTGGTTAAATTGTAGTCGATCATCGATCAACGAGATGCTGTAAGCACAACAGAAGAGGTAGGCCGTATCGTAAGCTTTAATCAACTGATTAACGGAGGATATTGCTACTATAGGAAAGATGGTGAATATGAAAGCACATAATACACATCTAACGAATAATACGAGAATTGTAAAATAATAGATGACACTACCCAAGTACGGGAAGCAGTCAACTTCGGCTAATTCCTGATTGTCGATTTTCAGAAGGGGACTCGGCGGCAGTCTTGTAGCATCCTTTTGCACATTGAAGATGCAAAGCGCAAGCCGAACGGAGCAACAGAACCTGCTAGTTTGTCTAGTGCGCTTCGTACATTCTCCAAACATTCGAACTCTCTAGTTAGCACAGCTTTTCTTCAGCTGCCCATTCAGTGCCAACGCTGTTGAGACCACTTAATGCGTTCTCCAGTATTTATTCTATGACGAAATTGATCAAGAATGGCGAAATAGGGCACTCTTGAAGAACGCCGCCAGTTACGAGCGATCTATTCAGCTCGCCGTAGACCCTTACGCTACCAGAAGTATGCGAATAAAATGACCTCAGTATATTCACGTATTTCTACGGCATTACATTACGAAGGAGCGAACCCAGAAAGGGTTCGCGGTCAACTGAGTCGAAGACTCCCTTTAGATCAAGGAACACGATAACCTTTGGTCGGCGGTGTGTATGGCGTTGCTCGTGGACTTGACGCAGAGTGAAGATTTGATCGATACAACCACGACCTGATCGAAGGCCTGCTTGTTGTTCACGGATATTTGTTGTTAAACGGTGTCAGACGAAGTATGGTGGAGGCTAATATTTTGATGACAATTGGGATCAAACGTATTTCTTGATGGTTTGCGCAGTCGTT